TACAATATTAGCCCTTTCGTGTCTGGCTTATTTCACTTAGCGTGTTTTCAAGGCTCATCCATGTTGTAGTATGTGTCAGAATTTCATTCTTTTTTTTTTTTTTTGAGACCGACTCTCACTCTGTTGCCCAGGCTGGAGTGCAATTGCACAATCTTAACTCACTGCAACCTCCGCCTCCTGGGTTCAAGCAATTCTCCTGCTTCAACCTCCTGAGTAGCTGGGATTACAGGTGCCTGCCACCATGCCTGGCTAACTTTTGTGTGTGTGTGTTTTTTATTTTTTTTTTATTTTTTATTTTTTAGCAGAGATGGGGTTTCACCATGTTGGCCAGGCTGATCTTGAACTCCTGACCTCAGGTAACCTGGCTGCCTCAGCCTCCTAAAGTACTGGTATAACAGGCATGAGCCACCACGCCTGGCCTTAAATTCTTTTTGTAAGCAACTCTGGCCTAATCTTAAATAATAAGCTAACACAGAGAATGTGCCTCACCCTCCAGCATACTGTGTGTTTTGGCTTGAAGATCTTTGGACAGCTTCTCAGAGGAAGACACTACTCCTCCCCACAGTTGCAGCTGTTCACCTCCCAGACTCACTGGTGAAGTTAGAAACGCTTCTGAAAAACTGCCCATCTATATTTTCCTCACAGCAGTTGTGAAGACTTGCTGAGGTGGATTTGAGGTGGGGCTCTCATGGGATAGAGCATTAGAAGAGGGGACATTTCGCTCTCCCTCATGTTTATATACCAGCAATGTCCCGTTGGTCGGGGCAGAAAGTTGAAGCTGCTTTTGCTTATGGAGCTCATAGAATGTGTGTGCACATACCAGCAGGCTTAATTTTAAAATCTGACCCCAGAATTATGCTGTCTACAGTTTTATCTCATTGATTTTTCAAATAAGTGTACTCTAATATGTTGTTTTTAGCTGTAACTGTCTTAAGACATGTTTGTCCAGCACATAGGCTTAGCAAAATCTGTAACTGTTTGAGATGAACTCCATTCTTTATTCATAAAAAAGGTATGAAGCGAATTCCATTGACTTCTGATATGTCATGTTTATACAGTTTTCCTAAATAAATACAAAAGGAGTTATCAGCATTCTCTTGACTTCCTAGATTAAAACTTTGGAACAGACTAAAGCCATTGAAGATCTAAACAAATCCAGAGACCAGCTGGAGAAGATGAAGGAGGAAGCTGAGAAAAAGCTCATGTCTGTCAAGTCAGAACTGGATACCACAGAACATGAGGCTAAGGAGAATAAAGAAAGGGCCAGAAACATGATAGAAGTGGTAACCAGTGAAATGAAGACACTAAGAAAATCTTTGGAAGAAGCAGAAAAGAGAGAAAAGCAGGTGGGTCTAAATCTGGTGATGAAACCTTGTTTAGGAAATGACAGGACAATTCAAGAGCTGGATATTAATAATTATTCATGCATTTCTTTTTTAAAAACTATGGACTGTTTCATGAATTTGTATTTCATCATTTCATGAGGGCTGTGCTAATCTGCTCTGTATTGTTCCAATGTTAACACATGTGCTCCCGAAGCGAGAGCTAGTCACATATTTATTCAAAAGCAATTTACAAAGCTTTCTATATCTTTTCAACATATCCACCTGCCCCTCCAGCATCTTTTGGCATTCAAGTAACCATTATGATTCACCCCGCTAAGAAAAATTGTTCACATTTTCATGGCACAAATTGTAGGAAAGGAAAAGACATTCTTAGTCAAGCAGCGGAAGGGTTTTGGTGAAAAAACAGGTTCTGGTTCTGGGGAGGTTTCTGTTATGTTAGGTGATCACCTCTGAAGTTTGCATCATCACAGAGCTCCTAACGTTAACCAGAGCTTCGGCCTCAGGAGGCAAGCCTTATCTGTAGCAGAGATCAGTCGCAGGAAACAGTCACAAATCTCACACAGTGGCACCCAGACTTGATGGCCAACCAGGCACAGATGTAAGCCATAAAAAAAGTACTCATTTGCTTGCTGGCTACAAGGAGGAGCATTTTATCTCGTGAGTCCATCAGGAGGTCAGGCATAAAGAAACATGTACCGGGCAGCTTGACCTCCATTGCTTTTGGCTTTTGTCTGTTTCTCCTTTTGAAGCTCAAAAGGGCATAGAGTGGACTCTGATCCTAGGTTTTTTCCCCCCACTTTGGCTGCCTCTGTTTTGGTTCACGTGTCAGGCAGAGATGGGGAAAGCCAGACGACACAATGAGTGTTCTCAGAAAGGAAACTTCTTCGGAATGAAAAGCTTTGGCTGCATTGGAAAGGGTGGAAGTCTGAGAGAAACTTTTTCGTCAGGGAGACTAGGTTGGTATCTTAGTCCTTTCAGGCTGCTGTAACAAAGTACTATCTACTAGGTAGGTTATAAATAACAGAAATCTCTTTCTCACAGTTCTGGAGGCTGAGAAGTCCAAGGTCAAGGTGTCTGGTGAGCACAGCTTCCTGGTTCAGAGTCAACCCCTTCTTGCTGTGTCCTCACGTGGTGGAAGGAGCAAGGCAGCTCTCCGGGGCCTCTTTTATAAGGACACTAATCTTATTCATGAGGGCTCCACCCTCATGATCTAATCACCCACCAAAGGCCCCACCTCCTAATATCTTCACATTGGTCATTAGATTTCAACATAAGAATTTTGAGGTGTCATAAAATTCAAACTGTAACAACTAAAACCATTCCCAAATTGGACTCTGCAAGGGAAGGAGGTTACAGAGTAAATGAGCCTGGGATGGGACTGTTTGGGTGGCATTCTCTTGGATGTAACTGTACTCAGGTTGGATCATCCCTTTTCTAATATGGAGGGTGCCTTTAATGAGGTGGTGGCCAGATGCCCTGATTTATCTGCTTTTGCATTAACCTGGAACCACAGAAACCAGCCTATGAGAATTTGAAGGGGTATGAGGCATATTTCAACCATTGTCCCCAGTCTCCTACTTTTCTTTCAATGGAGAAATAGAAGTCCCAGAGTAGTCCCATGGAATATGGCTTGTGAAATGGCAATCTGTGTGATGTGACTTGATAGTAATTTAGAAGTCCTCCTGTTTTCATTAACTTATACTTTCTTGCTATTTGTTCTTCTTTTTTTTTTTAGTGTAAGAGGTTATCAGCCAGCTAAAATCCCAAAGCATGTTTACCATCCATTGACACAACCCCACCAACATTTGTTTAGTCCTTCCTAGTATGCAGAGCACACACAGTCACCATTTCATGTTATCTGAATTTCAGAACAGCCCTCCTAGGTAGGTGTATGGTTAATCCCAACCTGAAGATGAGAAAATGAAGACTTAGTGAGGTCTGGGTCTCATTCATGGTTACTTAACTTGGATTCTTGACTTAGTAGCCAATACCACATCAGTTGGCTCATCAGAAAAGTGATTGTGAAATCTCTGAAGGTTGACAGCTGTGGGACTTATCTGGAATCTGGTATTTTATAAGTGAGAGAACTAGGAAGAGGGTAGATAATTTCCCTCCCACATGCAAACCTGGGTTTTCTACAGGTGTTTTGTTTGTTGCATTTGGTTCAGCAGTAGTTGATACATTTTGTTCTCCCAGTTAATGAGTTTCTGTTTGATATTGCAGCTGGCAGACTTCAGGGAGGTGGTGTCCCAGATGCTAGGCTTGAACCTGACCAGCCTTGCTCTTCCTGATTACGAAATCGTCAAGTGTCTTGAAAGACTGATCCATTCACATCAGCATCACTTTTTTACCTGTGTCTGCCTCAAAGATGTGACTGCCGGGCAAGATAGGCACCCACAAGGCCATTTGCAACTTCTTCATTGAACACTGTGTCTCTTGAGAGAGGTGGCCATAAGATGTGGGACACAATTCCCAATTTCACAGATTCCTCATGTCTTTGAGATTTGATCAGTTTGTGAATATTTTATGCTTTGATGATATAGTGAGAATGCATCACTTGCAAGAACAATCTCAAAAGTGTCAGCTTTAGATAAACGCTCAGCATTAAAAACGCCTATGATTTCATTTACTAGCATTTTAGGATCCAGAAGAATTCCACCAGATTGCATGAGTTAGATTGGGAAATGGGAGTGGGAGATTAACATTGGGGGGTATCTATTTTAAGTCAGGGGCTTTACTGGCCAATTTAGTTCTCATAATAACCATGTAGAGAAGCTGTGACATTTTTATTTTACAACCTTTCTGGGGCTCAGACATGGAGTTACCTATCCATGGTTGAGGTTGGGTAGTGGTGGAACCAGGATGGACAACTCATTGACCCGGCCTCAAAGACCATGCCTCTTCTCCTGCTACACAGACTCGGCTTTTCCTGAATCTCTATGATGCTGGTGGGAATTGCTTGCATATAGGGAGAAAAATACCCCCGCCATCAAGAGTTAATACCTAGGCTGGGCACGGTGGTTCACGCCTGTAATCCCAGCACTTTGGGAGGCCAAGGAGGGCATATCATTTGAGGTCAGAAGTTTGAGACCAGCCTGGCCAAGATGGTGAGACCCTGTTTCTACTAAAAATACAAAAAATTAGTCAGGTGTGGTGGTGCGCGCCTGTAATCCCAGCTACTCAGCAGGAAAAGCACTTGAACCCAGGAGATGGAGGCTGCAGTGAGCCACGATTGTGCCATTGCACTCCAGCCTGGGCAACAGAGTGAGACTACATCTCAGGAAAAAAAAAAAAAAAAAAAGAGTTAATGTCCATAAATGACAGATTTACAAGTGTAAACTATGTGAGTTCTTCAAAAAGCAAAAGCAATATACCTAATTCATTTGGATCAAACTTACATCGGTCTCAGGTCCTGTAAGAAACTTGCCTGTTCTAACTGTTGCTGCGAGATTACATCTGGTGGTAATTGTTAATGTTTCAGCAGGGCCGATCTCAGTCCTTTAAAGTGGAAAGCTTTATTGTGAGCCCAACCTTATAAGATGAAGAAATCCTATACAGTCTTATTCACCAATATATCCAATACACCCACAGCAATGGTACCTTTTTAAGATCAGGATTTTATTATGAATTCCCGTCACTTTCTGTTTTCCATTTAAATTTCTATTTTACAAGTTTTTCAGGGAATCATATTCTTCACTGAGAAAAATGTGTTACTCTTTTGGACAATTTATCTTATTTCTATCATATAAAATGTATTTTTTTTATTGACCTTAAAAGAAACTCTAGCATGAAATTAAAGGAAAGGGGAAAAAATAGATCTGGTGCACCCAAACATTAGGAGAAAATGAAAAATATACAGCCAACCGTTTGTGAGTCATCAAAAAGTCAAAGTCAGCCTGGTCAACATGGCAAAACCCCATCTCTACAAAAAATACAAAAATAAGCTCGGTGTAGTGGCGTGTGCCTGTAATCCCAGCTACTCAAGAGGCCGAAGCATGAGAATTGCTTGAACTCAGGAGGCAGAGGCTGCAGTGAGCCACGATTGTGCCATTGCACTCCAGCCTGGGCAACAGAGTGAGACTACATCTCAGGAAAAAAAAAAAAAAAAAAAGAGTTAATGTCCATAAATGACAGATTTACAAGTGTAAACTATGTGAGTTCTTCAAAAAGCAAAAGCAATATACCTAATT